CCAATGCCTGCTGGTTCCCCCTGACTAGTTTGTAAATGGCCACTAGATCCCCCCTCAGCCTTCTCTTGTGGGGAGTGAACAGGTTCAGGTCAAGGTGAGATCCCTTGTCCAGAGGCACCTGGGCCAACCATGCTCCTAGACCCAGTCACAGCTGGGGCTGGCCCTGGGCCTTACCTCTAGGGTGGGCTTGCCATGCACTGCTCTCATCACTGCTGGGTCTCCCAGGTCATTTTGTTCCTTGGAGTCCCTGTCATCATGGTGCTGCTGCTCCCCTTCCTCCTGCTCATCCTCCTCCTCTTCCTCCTCCTCCTCCTCCTCTTCCTCCTCATGCTCATCTGCCCCTAGCTCCCCCTCTTCCTCTATGTCACCATAGTCCTCTAGCCGAGTCCCAGGCTCCCCTTCATGCTCTTCCTCTGCCTCATCCATCTCCTCTAGAATAGAAGGCTTCTCTTCTGCCTCAGGCCCAGGCTCCTCCACAGCCTTGCTCTCCTCATCCTCCTCCATCACTGTCCCTTCTTCAATACTCTTGTCCATGGGACTTGGCTCAGGGTCTTTATCTTGAGGGGCTGGGGCTTTGGCCACCTCCTCTTCCATGGAGTCTCGATCTTCAAAAGTAAGCAGGGCTCCAGTCAGGAGATGGGTCACTGGGGGACTGCCTGGCAGCTCCATGACAGACCCTTTGGTAAGCTCTGCCTTTCCTCCCCCCGCACTGGTACCAACCAAAAGTTAGTGTAGTGGAGACCAGATTTTTTTTTTTTGCTACAAGTGCCACAAGTTAGCTCAGCACCCTCCCCAAGTGCCATGTGATCCCTTTCCTCTGCCTCACCTGCTACTTTGCTTTCTGTTCCCTGGCCCATCTGTTGCTCTTTCTGCTTCCTTCCAAGTGTGCAGCATGCCACACAGGCTGTCTATAGATTAGCTTAGGGGTGGCCATCAAGCCTCCTACTCTAAACAATATGAAGCCTCAGATCTCCGTGCCATAAGCCTCTCCTCTCCCACTCCTCCCAGCCTACCTGCTAATATTGAAGCCTTCCTGGGCCCACTGCCCCCACAGTTATCTTTCCTCAAGACCAGAGCCCCTCCCTCCTTCCACTGCCCCCTCCCTACCTAACCCAAAGGTCATGTCATTGTACAGGTCAATCTCTTCATCCTCCTCAGCCATTTCCTCCAGCAAAGGCGCATCTTCTGCCAGAAGGTAATCTTCTAGGACCTGGGAATGGACAGAATGAGAGGAGCAATAGCATATCCCAGTCCCTTCATGGAGCTAAATGGTAGAGGCAGGAGACAGTACCACTTGTCTGGAGCCAGAGGCATGGGCTTCACACCAAAGGAGCGCCCCAGTAGTGACAAAAATACCCTTCCAAACAACTGCAGATGGGGCAATTCCCTGCTGGCCAGCTCAGGACCAGCTGTACTGCTCACATACCTCCAAGATACTAACTGAAAAGTGAAAGGGCATGGTCCTACTTTTTGTAAACTTTCATCCCTCCCCCCATCAATCAGTCAGAGGCACCTTCCTTCAGTATGCTTTAAACTTTCAGGGCCCAACCCTGCCACGAGCTGCATGGGCTCAGAGAGCACCAAGAAGCCCAGCGCACGGGCCGGGCGAAGGGGCCCAGCGAGGAGCAAGAGCCCACGGGGCGAGCTCGCGGAGAGCGGGCACCCCACAGGACCGGCTGCACTTGGGCCGCGGAGAAGAAGCGGCGGCAGAGGCGCCGGGGGCCTGCGCGGGGGCAAGGGGACATCGCAGGCGCCCTGCACCTCGGGGCGGAAGCGCGAAGCCGGGGAGCAAGAGGCACGTGCAGGTGCCCAACAGGGGCCGGGCCGGGGCGCCTGGAGCTGCAAGCAGCCCCCCTCGGGGCAAGGAGGCTCCCCCTGCACCACACCCCGCCCACAGGGCCGCGGTGCAAGCCCGGGGGGTGGGGGCGGGCAGCGGCTAGGGCAGGTGCAGCGCAGGGGAAGCCTCCTCGGCGTCCCCGGGACGGGATGGCCCAGCTGGAGGAGCGGGGCAGTGGTTGAGAACACTTACAACCGGGTCGCTACTCCCCGCCATCCCGCATCCGCCGCTCGCCTCCACGGGGTCGGCCCTAGCCGCTGCCGCCTTTTAAAGGGCAGTGGCACTGGGAGCTAGGCTCCTCCGCAGGCGCATGCGCAGCGCCTAACTTTCCGTACAACAACATGGCGGCGCCTAGGCGGGAAAAGCCGAGCGCGCCTGCGCACTCCAGCGCGCGTGTCTCCCCCCCCCCCCC